CTGCTCATTTAAATAAATCATATAAGTCTATAAATCATTATTACAATAATATCGCACACTCAAACGTATTCATATAATGCTACATTAACCATTCTGATACGTAATTTAGTAGCTATGGAGATAAGGATAATCGACTTATTGTGGCATTATATTACATTGTAATTATCCGCATTTTGATAAGATTACTTATCAAATTTGGTTGTCGCATGGCGATTTGTGATAACTGATAAGTAGCTGACGTGCTGTCTGAAAAGCGAAAGCTCGGATTTGCAAGTTCCAAAGCTTCTAAGATAAAGCTGAAGTATTTCCTTGAAGGATTTTGCGTAGAGGTGCCAAGAGTTAGAAACTTAGAACCAACGAGGGGGTGTGGGAATGACGTCGCGTTTTCGTGTGACATTAATAAACTTATCGTGACTCTAAATTGTCTGTCTGTGTCTGTTAAACCACTGTCTGTGTTTTATGTCTCATTTTAAGAAAAGTTCGTACTACTTTTTCGACATTCAAGCCGATAGTCCATATTACGCTTCTAAATCCTTCTTCAAGTACTTATGTAATTCGTCATTATTTTATAGTATGATAATTTACTGCACTGGTGGTTTAGTCTGAAAGCATTTTGAAGATCAAACCGAATCAAGTGCCGAAAAAACAAATCAGAAGTTTCATATCTGAAGTATGTGAGGAGGACGAAACGGAGACAGGTGTCCGCCATTTCCAGATTCTATTTCGTCTTTCTGCTGAAAGGCTAAAGTAATTGGATTTTTGGAGAACATTTCCTACATCTCAAACAATTGAAGGCACTTTTTCCTTTAATATGCTATTCATTTGTTCGTATAAGTATGGATAAAAAAAAGGATTGGTTTTACGGCTCAAATGCTTTTCCTAAGAGAAGGAAGTTCAAATCTTTGAAAAAAGAAAAACCTTTTCATGCAAATGGTCTTCAGTAATCAGCCAATTAGTAAAGATACTTTTTTTAGATTTGTGTATTGTTCATGTAGGAAAGCTGTTGCATTTTCATTGTAAAATCACGTCCGTATTCACAAACGATGCTTACTTAAGTGAAGCAGCAAATCGAAAGCACATCGTTGAATAGAGCTCTGTGATGATGACTAGTTTGTGTGCCACCCTGAGTGTCCACGCGCACTGTGAGACCTCATAGTAATATTTGTGAATACGGGCTTCAATCGTTTTTGATCCGTACTTACAGGGACACCCTGTATAAAAAGATATTTATTGCGCAATTATTTGAACTCAACTAGATACCATTTAATCAATCCAATTGGAAGCAATGTTGCCATGAGACGCATCTCGGTTAACATGACACCTTGTATGTGATACAAGGCTATTTCAATTGAATATTTTTCTCAGTACTGTACTGTAGTTTTAAATTCTAGTTTTTCATAATTATTCAAGTTTAAATGCATGCTTGTTACTGAAAATTCATGATAATTACCTGAAAATGTACTCTTAAATGTATTATAATCTCTAATTGGAACTTCTAAATATTGTGGTTGTAGAAAAATAAAATTAATATTGATTTTAGTTTTTACAAGTGCAGTTTTAGAAACCAAGGACTGTACGAGAAACATTCAACTTAAAGAATTTAAAGTGGAACGGATTTTCAATCTAATATTTTTATTATGTAAGGTATTCCCAACTATACATAATATCTTTTCATCCTACTAATATTATAAATGCGAAAGTTTGGATGTCTGGATGTTTGTTACTCACGCAAAAACTACTGAATGGATTTTGATTTAACTTTACAGTATTATTGTTTACTAGCTATGCCCGCGACTTCGTACGCGTGAAAATCCGTTTTCGCAACATTTTTCATTTTTGCTCTGCACCTATTACTCGTAGCGTGATGGTATATAGCCTATAAGCCTTTCTCAATAAATGGGCTGTCTAACACTGAAAGAATTTTTCAAATCTGTGTTCCTGAGATTAGCGCGTTAAAGTAAACAAACAAACAAACTCTTCAGCCTTATAATATTAGTATAGGTAACCCAGAATAACATATAGGCTATAATATGACTATCTGTGACAAACTAAATTTCACGCGGGTGAAGCCGCGGGAAAAGCTAGTTAGAAATACGTATTACGACTACGACACCGACACCATAATACCTTCTGATGTGGATTATGGCTCGTCAAAGAGAGAGGCAGCCCGCGGGAGCTGTGCTCTATGCTCCTGGAATATAGATTGCCAATAGTGTTCAAGATTATCATTGTTATATTCCTTCAGACCATATATTTTCTAATATGTACTTTATATCAAAAGCTTTTTGATCTTATTTACTTTGGTTGTTTCTATTCTCTACCAAGCGCTTCGATAAGTGTATCTACTTTTATTATTTTGCTATAAAATCTATAAAATCACGAACTTACATTGGATCTAAAGTTAAATGGTCTTTGGTAATTTAAACGTAATTTGGAATTACCTTTTGGTTCATATTTAGAGCAAATAATTGTCTGTAACATTGAATATCAGAAGCAAATTGTGGCTTTGATCAAAAGTTAGATTAACCACTCTATTGAAATGGTATGAAGTATAAACATCAAAGGACATGAAACCTGTTTCCTTGTATGTACTTATAATGTCATTTACTATTTATATTTTTATTTGACTCATCTTGTATGTAATTTTTTATACAAAATGTTCATTATACATAATATGTGTAAATAATATTAAAGTTCCCGTTAAAAGCCAGTGGCACATAGCGTGATTGTATCGTGAAGTTTTCTTACAGTTGAAGAATTCACGTTACATTCGGGTAAAAATGTTACCTGAACGTCTCATGACAGTGTTTGTACCAAAGGTCAATATTGATAGCAGAGTTTATTTTAGGTGTAATTATTTTGTTTGTGTGTAATTGAACCTAGTTAATTAGGTTCGTTGGTGATAGGATTGCTAAAAACATTTTGTACTCATTAGTTTTCGATGTAGATTCACTCAATTACTACGTCCGTATTCACAAATGATGCTTGCTTAAGTGAAGCAGCAAATGCAACGCACATCGTTGAATAGAGCTCTATGATTGGTTCATGTGTCACCCTGTGCGTCCACGAGCACTGTGATACCTCATAGTAATATTTGTGGATACGATTCGTTACTTACTTCGATGGCTCTGCAGCGATCCTAACTTTGAGTCTTGGCCTCCATTAAAAGGGATGTTGTCGTTTGCTTCAGTCTTGTGCGGTTTTGTCTTGATTCGATTCAGAGAAATATTAAACGAGTTTTGATTATTTTATTTTAACAGTAACTTGGCAGTACCTAACCAGCAAAAGGGTTGTAAAATGGTCTATACCTACGTGAAATATTAAAATCTGAAAAATATGGTTATGAACGACATTCTTCAAATCTTCGCATTCAGATCTGCAGAAAAAAATGTGTTTAACCTCTTAACAGCTCCTTAGTGTTTTTCGATAGAATAATTATGCTACGATCCACAAAATAGACAAAAACCGGCCAAGTGCGTGTCGGACTCACGCTCAAAGGGTTCCGTACCATTGATTTATGATTTTTTTATTTAAGTTATTTGTATGAAAGATTACGCGGTAATAAGCGGTTTGCGATTTACGAGGTATTAAAAAAAAATGCTTACTAGATCTCGTTCAAAACAATTTTCGTTGGTAGTTTTTATAGTAATGTACATCATATGTTTTTTTAGATTGTTCATTTTCTTATTTTAGAAGTTAGAGGGGGGGGGGG